GTCTTTCAGTCATCAATGCTCACATTCAGCGACACACAGGAGCTCTTTCAAGCTGGGCACCGTTTCATTCACAACACCTGTCCCATCAACCAGGATCAGAGTAACTATAGGACCAGTTTTATATAACATTATTTCATATAATATATAATGAGGGGGTCCCTGCTTCATCTCTTCATCAGTTTGAGGTCCTTAGCCTGGAAAACGTTGAAGACTCTCTCATAGTTTATCTGTGCAACGGGCTGAGAAACACGTCCGATCCAGAACTTGAGTAATGTGCTAAAAGCTCTAAAGAAAGGATGTCAAACTCAAGTCCTGGAGGGCTGACATCCTGCAGCTCTTAAATAACTCCCGGGTCCAACACACCTGAATCCAACAGCTTAATCACCTCCTCGCTTGACGTCAAGAATCCCGTCTAAAACTCAGAGCATCACACCGGCTGCCGTACGATTACTTTCACGCTGCCAAGAACGTGGCAGCCTCCCAGAATGACAGCTTATTTGGTCCAATCAGTGTTGCCACTGTCTGCACCGCGCCTCTTTGAGAATTGTTCTTTTGTCCTCCTCTTCTGGTTCAGCGCTCAGGGGGGTGAAATACAACCCTCCTGGGTTTCCACAAGCCTTCACAGAAACAGATAGACAAAGGAGAAAACTCCTTGAAAGACGAGACCTCCAATCAAACTGTCGCTCAAGAGAAAGCTGTCGCCGAAGGTAGGCAGAGTGTCACTGAGGTTACCATTTTAGACGCAGTTATATGCATGCGTGTCTGGTCCTGGACTGCAGCTGATTGGAAACAGCCTTGGGGAGTGACAGAACCCCCGCTGGGCCAAGTGTGCTGGCATTTGCTTGTTAGGTTGTCTAAAAATGCCAAAGACTCGTGTTTCGTCGCAGTGCCGAATCCAGAGCTTCGCTTCAAACGTCTGTGAGAGACGGAAATCTAGAGGATTTTGCCACAAATACTTCACTTCTGCACTCAGATTATAGAACTGAGATTTATATTATGAGGCGTCAAGAGACGAGGAATTAGAGAAATAAACTTTGCCAACAGATTTTTATTTGTAAAACTGACATAAAACAGTAAAGATCAGCATTTTCTCGCCTCGTCCGTCAGGGAAAACAGCTTCTGTTGGCATCTCTGATTCAGTTGCAGAGGGCCCCAAGTTCCTGGGGGCCCCATAAAACTCTG